AGTGGATGAGAGGACTTTCCCTCTTATCCTGAACACAGCTTTGTTTTTTCAATCATCTTGAAAAAAGAACCTTCCTAAAAGACTTTTGGAATTTGTAAGCTGCAGGATGGAAAACACGGTATCTCTAACTACTACAAGTTCATCTGGGTCCCTCTGGTACAGTTGTGGGACCATGGCTGTGTAAGAGGTCTAAAATGTTCTTAGTTTGTCTTACCAATCAGTATGAACACTTGTTTCCCTACGCAGAACTAAAGATGCCAATCTAATATCCATTCAGGGACATGTCAAGAAATACACAGAGAAAGGTTATACCATGCTTTTTTTTTTGCCATGGCCATTCTATCACAACCCTTGGTGTTGCATAATTTTAGCTTTCAATATTACTGGTATATCAGTCTTATAATATCATGGTTAAATGGAAACAAGGAATCCTGAGGACACATACAGACTCGCTAGAAGTTGATTCCCTCCAATGCTCTGATGAACAAATAAAGATGACTGAGCAGCCATAATTTCTGAGAGGTGTATCACCCTCCTACACAGACTAGCTCTGGATGCAGTCTTCAAGACTGAGAAAAGGCTATGAAATATCTTTTCTAATGGGACTGTGGCTCTGAAGAAGTCTCTGAAGAACAGCCTCTGCAAAACAGCTTGAAAGATAAACAAGGCTATTCATACTTACACAATGCTTTGTACTAATGCTGTTAGCAAAACAGGAGGGACAGAAAGTGGCAGTGCTAACAGGGCTGAAGCTTAAGACATTTCTGTGGCACTGACCTCTGTACCTTAAAGTTCTCCCTCCTTTTTATTTTGTTTTTCTTTCAGATTCATTTCTGCTTGGTGAATTGCAGAAGTGAAGGCTTGAAGGCTAGTTAGAGCACAGCTGTGACCCTGGGACCCTGGAATCAAGAGATCAGTCTCGTGTTTCTCACCAGTGACCTGATGGAGCTGAAAGGACTTTTGGGCAAGGAAAACAGGTGCAAGTGTTAGGGTCCAAGTGCTGACAAATCAGCAAAATGACAAAGTTGCCATCAGTTGAACTGACCTAAGACACACTCAACCAACAGTGCTTGGATTCTGTGCTTTCTGTCTTAGTGTACTTTACACATAACAGATGCTCAAAGACATCACTTCCCAAAAATGTGTGTCTCTGAGAAAATTCACTTACTGTGAAAACTGCAGATTGTAAATTCATATTGTGAGAAATGCACATGTGCACATTAGCTTTTTGTGATTCCACAAGCTATACTGAAGAATCTGATATTGGCTAAAAAAGGAAAGCCTTCTGGTGAAGAAGCATTGCATGGTCCCACAACTGCAGTCTTGAGTAGTATGACAAAGGAACAAGCAACTTAAAACAAAGAAATGAGGAAGTAAGGAAATTAACTGAAAGAAAAAAGTGCATTAAGGAAGGATGGAATAGTAGGAAAAATAGCTCAATATAAGAACTATTCTGAGAGACTTCTTATACTCAAGCATTACTCTTCATAAAATAAAAAAGTCAACGATGTGCCCTCTATTTTCAGTAACACCTCTTTTGTTTCTCTACTCATTAGATCACAGCATCAGAAACTTGAAAACCAACATCATTTTCTTCTTCCTTTTAAACACAGAAGTATGTATTTAAAACCTAGTTGAGGTAATTTTACAGCTGCATATTTTCACAGCTGCTAACATCTTTCCTTTATTGTCTGTATAAATGAAATGACGGTAACAAGAATCTTGACTCAGGAAAGTAGATTTTAAAGTGTTGTACCCCAATTTTAAAGACAAAAAACCCCCAAAATATATCAACAAGTATTATTAAAGCTTTCACAACATTTATTCTTTTTAAAAATACACATGAAATTGTGCACCCTTTTCTCTAGAGAATGATTACGTAAAAGGACATGGCAGATGTGACCTACTGAGGTGAAAGGAATTTCCACTGGTATTAGCAGGTGTTAAAACCACTGTATCTTGCCATCCTTGATTGATGCAGTAGACAATAGCTTTTTATTAAGTAACTAAACAGATGAGATCAATAAAGAACTAGCATAGGTTTCACTGTATGCAACATCGGGGGAATGTTTTCTAGGTAAAGCATTTCAAAAAAACGGGTAAAAAGAATTACTTTATTTCTAAATAGGCCTTCCTGCTCTCAACTTAATCATCGTATTTTAAATAAAAACATTAGCATAAGAACAGTTGGAGGGAATTTCCCATTGGCCTAGGAATAATTATATCTTGAAATAGTCACCAAGGGTTGTAACTCAGAGGTTTCATGATCCCCCTCTCTCTTTCTGAACACCTAGCGACGTACTTGTCTTCAGGTGTATCTACAACCTTCTTCTGTATGCAGACAGACAGCACCTCTTTACAACATTACCATCACTATTTTGACTACTCTATCCTGTATCTCTGGCCTCTTCAATGCATTTCTATTGAAGATTTATGAAGAAGCTTTCAAAATAATCCTTTTATGCCCTGTACACTATCTCAGTCTGTTTTTTTAATTTTGGTATTTGACTGCACCAAAGTCATTGTTACATTAAACATCATATTTTCAATTTAAATTATCTGTACCACTTTTAGTCCACATTTCTGGTATGAAATTATTTTTGGAGACTTGCCCTTAGTTTGTGAACTGTCTGTGACTGTACAGTGTTTACAGAATGCAACTCCAATTTAATGGCATGCAAAGGCTACACTTATGATGTTATTAAAGTATAAATATATAACAAGATCCAGTTGAGCATATTTGCTATTTAACTATCCTATTCAAACTACACTATTTATTTATTTTTAAATCTGTTTAAAGAAACCATTGTTTGAGATGTTATTTCTGTTGTGTGATTACATTTTTTAAAAGTTATCAGTACACAAAACAAGAACTAAGGTAGTATCTTTGTTTATCTCAAATAAACCAGAAAACATTTTATACAAATATTTAAAATTAACTCGTTAGCTTTCACATATACTAAAAATCTGAATGGTAAAACAAGATTGGCTTGCTTTCTTGAATAGCATTTCTATTTTATCATTAACCTACCTTTGATTAAATAGAGCATACCATATACAGAGCAATGCCGTATGTAATGTTTATGAAACAAATGGGAGTTCTGATAATGATTTTAACTGGAAAAAAATACAGTGCAGTATACGGACAAGCTACTCCGGTGCAATTTTAATCAGCTTGAAAGCACGTAAGTGCTACAGTGCTGAGGTTTCTTACTTTTTGTATAGAAACTCAAAACCTATGGATGTTTGGAGTCTTCTTTTAGTTAGAAGTTAATTTTACAATCCTCATGGAAATTCTCATATGAAAGAAAACTCGCATATTGATTACAAAATCTGTTTGGCTTTGTGCATCAGTTCAGGAAAAAAAGTAAAGAAAAATAAAAGATTCTTATCTAGCAGTCCTGCAGTGTTCAGAAAGTCTAAATTAGTTCAAACTGATAAATCTTCTATATTATACAGGCTTCTCAACATCCATCTTTCTCTCCTTACATAGCAATCTAATTCTGAGCTCTGATTTTATCAGGTCTAGCATCTCTAAGGAGTGGTTTACTGTTCAAAATTCACCATTTTTATGTCTGGAGTGTTAAAATAATATTGTGGAATAGGTTTTGTCAAATAGAAAACTGGAATCATACAATGTTTGAAAAGAGCTGCTAGATTCTCAGTGGCCACTGAGCCTGCTGGATATGAACTAGACAAAAGAGCATATGCATTTCTAACAGGGACGCGGAATTTCTTCTTTGGCAATGCAGTATTATCTTATGAAGAGGCGCTTATTCTCACATTGAAAACTACGTGCTTTCATTGCTTTCTAAGCACTGTAATCATACACCTATTCACTCCAGTCGCTCTACTCATGTACCCACTCTGTTGTTCTTCTCATTCTTTGTAATTTGCCTTCTGCAACTTTAACATCTTATCAGGCTGTTACATTCCTGCTGTTACAGGAAAGAAATACACATCGATGTTTTTCCTGCCAACAGCTTCCCCTCTGAGTAACACCAGAGATGATCCACCAGTCCTCAAACTTCTCAAGTCTGCTCACTGTTGATAGTTAGGAACATTTCTTGTTATTTTCAGCATCAAATCATGACCTTGTCTGACACAGTTTTGTAACTGGAGGACCAGAATTTATTAAATTTGACCTGTAAAAAGGCCTGGGTAGACTCATAAAAGTAATATTAAAAGGATGTCCTGTTTTTTTTTTTTTTTTTTCCCACATACTTTTAGAAGCAAACTATTATTACAAATTTTTACAAACAGGAAAAATATATCTGCTAGCAAGAATCAGAAGTACAGAAAGTAACTATGTAAGTAAAGCTCGATGAGGCCTGGTGAAGAAAGGCCATTTGACTGAAAACAGGGAAACATGAGTAAACAGTTAATCCCACATTTCAGTAGTCTAACTTAAATGTTTTTCAGTTAACAACCAGTTAATAACCATGGAAATGTTTAAGTGTTAAAGTAGTAACAATAAGACTAAGCTTTCTTCATATAATAAGCAGAAAACAAAGCTAAAACACCCATACCCTTTACTCCATTTCATATGTATAAAAAAAGCAATACATAACAGCATGATATTATTCAAATTTTTGGCATGATTTCTTTCATAAGAGACTGATTTTGATTTTTTTTTGGAGAGGTCTTTATTGACCACGCTCAGAACTAGTAACTTCTTTCCCTGAGTAATTTTCTTTATTCCACTATGCAGACACAGTTTTTGCCAAACAGGAAACTACATACAATTATCCTGATAACGTGCACAAAATTAAAGGTTTAAGAATAAATAAAAAGGTATGCACACAAATTGTCTGTTTATAATTTGCAGTTTATCTTTAGATTCAGAGAACTGTGTATGAGTGACCCAGGAGAATTTAACTCAGCTATACTTGAATAATTATGCATCTCTGATTTCCTATGGCATGTAATCAGCTAGACACTTATTTACAAATATTATACTCAAAACTCAGTGAAGTTTAGGGAAAAATTTAAAAACTTACCTTCAAAAACTCTGAAGGCTTTCTTGCAGCTTGGTAGAGGCCATTTTGCAGAATTTGATTTTTGAAAATTTTCTTTTAACTTCAAATATTCCGCAGGGAAAAAAGATTTGGTAGAGTTGTTCAGTTCTACAATGTTTAATGGGAAAGAATGTAGACATCAATGCTATAAATATAGCAATCATCTGCATACATTTATACTAGAAAATAAAAATGCCTTATGTACTGTATAATCATTTTTCTGATTGTAACATCTCTTAAATTGTTTTAAAATCACATAAACCCAAGCATTTCCAGATATATCAAGAACAAGTCTTAAACACGCTGTTTTGATTCTGTTCCTCTGAAAAAAAGCATTTAGAAAAGGTGATGTCAAATTCTAGTGAAATGAAGTGCACAATAAATAAGGCTATTTAAGTCACAAAACTGTGGTGACCTCTGTGAATGAAAATGACACCCATAAAACTGACTACAGTATTACTTCTCAGTTCGTATTTGTTTTTGTTTAACACCATCTCAGTAGCAGTCAGTAATGCAACGAGAGGGGAAAAGTCTGAAACATTTTTTTGAGATTTTTTAAAATATTGGAGATTAACAGTAATTAAGAACACATTTGTAGAATGATTAATGAGACACTGCAAGAGTTGACATAATTTACTAATCTCAAGAAATCATCAGCTTCTTGGGATATAATCTGGGGAAATATCTGCATGGACTGCAACTCAAAACTCTGAAACTAACCTATCCATAGCAATACAACACTGGAAAGCAATTTAAAAATAACCATATTTTCCTGCCACAGAAAAGGAGTGATCTGCTGATAACAGAGTTGCCAAACTGGTAGCTAACAGGGAAAACTTCAAAATCCTCCCATTTTGGCCCTTCAAATCACCATTTCTCCAGATAAATACTAATTATAGCAGCTGCTACCATAATTCCTTCTGTACCTTAAAAGAAAGAACAAGCCTTTCACAGATCTTTGAAAAGGCTTATGTATTATTATTACCTGGTTCACTGCAACTGTACATACTTTTTCAATAATCAGTATTTTACGAAAATATCAATTTTTTTCTCTGGCAAATTTGATAAAGTTAAGCTTTTTGTGAGCAGGTTCCAGAAGGAGGAAAAAATTCCAAATGCCCTTTACTTGCACTAGCTTTTTTTTTATGTAAGAGGAAGGCATTAGCAGATTTGAAGCACAAAAAAAATATGTTGGTCTTATTCCAAAAATTATCCTGTATTTCACCATGTCAGAACACAGGTGGAATGAGGCTACACAACACACGCAGAGTACAGAAATCTCCAAATCCTCCTATCTCATTATGTGAGAATAGCATCCATAAACCTCTGTCAGTGAAGGGAAAGAGGTCATTTTCTCTCCTAAATGTAAGAGAAATAAGCTGTGTGCTTTTCACTAATGGTTTTAAATTTTATATAAGAGCTTTTTATGCTACTGAACACATTTGGATTAAGTACTATTCAGATTCAGAGAAATAGCCTCTGATGAGACTCTGCCTCTCACAGCACCAACAGAGAATATTTTAGTTTCCTTTTAATGGCCATAAAAATCGACTCAGTTCTTTCAACTTCATTGTCCAGATTTAAACACTGAAACGTCTGGTGAGGCATTTAATTCCTGTTTTTCAGAAAAGGCAGTGGTGATAACTCTTACTGACTTTTAGGTGGTTGCTTGGTTAGGCTTTAATGGAAGATCCTCTCAGGCTGGCCTGGCCACTTGCCTTTCTGTATGTGAGTGACCCTTTCCCTGCCACATTCCTGGACCTCCTGTGCACAACCACTAAATTGAATCTGTGTTTCTCCAAAGTGGTGGATTTATTGTACATGAGTGCCAGATCTGGCCCGTCTTGGAAACACTTAACATAAATGAAACTTTATATGAATGGAAGCATAGAAGCCAATCCCTGGGTCACTCTGTCCCCTGATAAGACAGGCATTTAAAAGACAGAGTTACTTGAAGTGGGATGCTGCCATCAGTTCAAAAGATGATTTCTTAGATGTATCCTGGGCCCAGTATCATCTGACCAGACGTCGATCTGTCCTGATGGGAGAAGGCCTTTTAAGAAAGCCTTTAAGAAAGATGGGAATGCATGGCAGACACCATCAGAGCAACCCATCTGGACTGGAACTCCCTCTCAAAGGAATCAGTAGAAAAGTCTCACTTGATCATTAGGCCAGAGGAAGTATACTCATTGCTCACATCTGGCTTTGTAGCTCTGGGTTAAGCACTCTTTTTCTTCATAATTAGTGGATAATTGACCTGTTAGCTTTCAACCTTTTTTGACATGTTGCATACAGTGTTGTGTTGCAGTTATGTTCAGTTTGCAAAACTGTACAAGCTAAAAAGTGAACTTCTGAATATATCCTTAAATGTTTTCTTTTGGAGATATCTTTGTAAAATAAAATGCAGTTATACAAAAGGAAAGCTGCAGAAAGTATCCAGAGTGAGGGAAATAAGATATCCCAGCTGTAGTGTTAGAGAAATATGTAAAGAACACTAGCAACTTTGCTCTGCTAGCTGCATAAACCTGTAACAGCAGAGACTTTAGCATAAATTTAAGAGGCTTAATAAATCTCTTGAGTAAAAAAAACATATTTACTACCCCTTACATTGGTCTAGCACTATCCATCTTCCTTAATGTGTTGATTTTAATAATTTCTCTTATGATATGATATCATCACCAATATTTCTTGGCATATTTAAAAGCTGCTCAATACATTATACACTGGGAAATTACAAAATATTTTTCTTAATATAAGTATAATAAACCAAAGTAAATTTAGTGTATCTATTTTCAAATATTGATAAATCAAGCATATATGGCTATACAATGAAAAGCAATATACAAATAGCTGCTGTAAAACTGTATGGATTTCTCTTATCAGAAGTTGTCAGTATTAAACACATATATTGTTATGGCTCTCTATTTACAGTAGACTCTCTGTTTACCTATTTATGACACTGTATTTACACTTTAGCCACACAAACCCTTTTCCTCAAAAAAAATACATACCTTTCTAATATTTCCACAGAACGGGTTAGGTTGTAAGCGATGTCTTGAGATCAACTAGTCCAACTCACCCTGCTCAAGCAGGGTCAGCTACATCAGATTGCCCAGGAGTGTGTCTGGTTGGGATCTGAGTATGTCCACAGATGGAGACTCCACAGCCTCTCTAGGCATTCTGTTTAACCACACTCACAGAAAAAATATGTTTTCTTGTGTTCATATGCATTTTCATGTGTTTCAATTTGTGCCCACTGCCTCTTGTACTGTCAGTGGGCACCACTGTGAAGAGTCTGTCTCCCTCTTCTTCATTCCCTCCCATCAGATATTTTTACAGATTGTATATTAAGAATTCAGAGGCTACAAATACTCCTGGTAATATTTCACTTAAGCAGCAGTACTTTAAATGTGTTCAAAAGTTTTGCAAATACTTTTTAGCAAGCATCTATATTCCCTCTTTGCACTCTCCTAGTAGTATTTTACTGCAGCAAACCTGTTAAATAGCTTTTTAGAAATTTAAATAGCCCTAAACCTAAAACTAATTCTCTATTTGTGAAACACACTTCATCTGTACTTCAAATCCAAAGGAGCATCAAACATTGAGCAAATTAAATGAGAACAGCTTGAAACTTCTATATACCAGACAGGCAGGGTGCTGAGAGACCTCAGGCTGCAGCTTTCCATCCATTTCCTCTGCTGCAGTGCTGACACTGTCAGTCCCTATCCCTGGCCACCAGCAGCTCCACAGTGAACTATAGTGGGGCAATTAGTTTGTCTGAAAATGCCTTCTTCCCACCCAAGTGAGTTCTTATTTCATCCAGTCAGTTCCTTGAACCGGTCTGCCATCAAATCATACGAAGTTGTGCTTGTGCAGAGGAAGAGTCTGTGCGCAACCAGAAATAGAAACTGGGCAGCTCTGCTGATCAATATGAAATCATACTTTATTCTGCACCCCCAACCTGTTATCACCACAGCGCTCTCCCAGTTTAAAGAGGACTGCTGCAAGATCTCTGCATCATGCAAAAATGAACAAACACTCCAGCATGGCTCAGTCATTTCCACTACTTTGTGACCTGTCTGTGCACAGTTTACATGCTATAAAGGGCCTAGCTCTCAATACCACAGTGCAATTTTATCAATGGTGCTTGAATTTACCTTTTCAAGCTCCAGGCATAAAAGACTGACTCATGCTGTTCCAGGTATCCCATTTACAGCACTACTTACCCTCTTCCTATCCCTGTACCCTTTCTGACATTGAACAGCCCTTACCCACCATGTTTTCCTACTGCTGAAACTCAGGAACAGTAGAGATGAGGGCATAAGGGGTCAGGAAGGGAGAATTTAAAAACAAGGTTAGGAGGCTTCTGTAGTTCTGCCAGCCTTTATTTTCACTTGTAGCTAAATTAAAGCCATAAATCCAAGAAAATAATATATTTTTTTGAGTCATTAAGTTAGTAATTTTAAAAATACTTTTCTGGTAGGACATTTTGAGAAAATGTTTATTATGTTTGGACTTTGTGATGATTTAACAAGTGTCCTGGGTTTCAGTGAATGGTGAGGTTTTTCAGTAGCAGGGGAGGGGGCTACAGCGGTGACCCCCAGCGAGAAGCTTCTTAAAGCTCCCCTGGCTCCAAGTGAGCCCCATCTCTGCACCAAGGCTGAGCCCATCAGCTGCGCCTCTGCAATAACGTATTTAAGAAAGGACGTGGTGAGGAGAGGTTGGACTTGTGAGGAGGAGTTGCTGCAGCTGCGTGAACACCAAGGTCAGTGGAGGAACGGAGGAAGAAAGGAGGGGGGAGGTGTGCCGGAGCAGAGACCCCCCTGTATCCTGTGGTGAGACAGCAGGGCGGCCCCCCTCAACACCCATGAAAATCTACGGTGGAGCAGACGTTGATTTATGGCCTGTGAGGGGCCTCAAATGGATATTTAAGGTGGCAGCACCTGCAGCCAGCCAGGACCCTGGGGAAGAAGCAGCGCTGGGAGGATTGCAGCATGCGGGGGTGTCCCACGCTGGAGCAGCTTGGGAAGGGCTGCAGCTGTGGGAGGGAATCCAGTGAGAAAAAGTTAGTGACCCACAATGGAGCAGTGTGGGGAATGCTGCAGCCCGTGGGAGGGACTCAAGTCGGAGAAAGTTTGTGGAGGACTGTCTCCTGTGAGAGGGGGACCATGCTGGAGCAGGGGCAAGAAATTCCAGAAGTTTCTTCTCCACCCGCCCCGCCCCAAAGACAGAAGAAGCTGCAACACTGACTGCACCCCCCATTCCCTGCCCCTGTGTCACTGGGGGGAGGCGGTAGAGATATCGGGAGCAGAGCTGAGCCCGGGAAGAAGGGAGGGGTGGGGGGAAGGTGTTCTCAAGATGTGGCAATGCTTCTCACTGTCCTACTCTGCTAAGTGTTGTTGCTAGTGTCTGTAATAAATTATGGGGTTTTTTTCTTCCCCTAACACAACTGCCTTTTGTCTATGACCATAATGGGTGATTTGCCCCCCCTAGTCCTATCTCAAATCCCAAGCCTGGCCTATTTTCCCCTTCTCAGTGCTGGAGGGGAAGTGGGGAGTGAGTGGCTGTGTGGTGCGCAGTTGCCCTCTGAGCTCCAACCATGACAGCAAGAGGAAACCAATGAAATGCAAAATATTATAACCTCACTTCAAAAATCAAGAAGTTTTAAAATATGCACCCAGAACAGTTCCTTGCAACTGAAGAAAGCCTATGTGGAATAGTCCTAGGAAGAGTTAAATGCAAATAAAACCTTACAGTGGATTAACTTCACCAAATTTTGTTCTGTATGCATTTTGGATGTGGCCCATCACATATTATTCTTTCTTTCTTCTTCTTATGACTATATTTGGTTAGCAAGGTTTTACTATAATTTTAACTACATATTTATTCAGACCAGAAATACTGGAAGTAAAGCTGCAAATATTTTTCTGTATTTTAAAAACTTGCATTTTTATACCTGTTTGGAAAAAGACTCTGGCAATTGTAGTGCGACACAGTGGACATGGAGTGCTGGCTGGATTGTCTTTGGCAAGCATCCTTAAGCAAGGTTCACAGAAGATGTGGTGGCATGGGTAGCACATGTAAGGATTGAAATAAACATCCAGGCACACTGCACAGAGATAGCTTTCTTTGTCTCCTCTGAGTTCATGCTCATCATCTGTATGCAGGTTATCATCTGCAGTCTGCAAGGAGAAAAAGAAAACAAAAACATCTTTTCACAGCTCAGCTCACAACTATTTTCGATAAACCAGTCAGCAGGAAAGTGACTTTAAATAACACTTAAAAAGTTGGTACACACTGGTGATATTCTTAATTTTTAATACAGGTTACTTTTAATGAGATGATGAAACATACTGATAAGACAGGAATGTCACAACAAGCACCGTGTGGGAAAGGAGAACAAAAATCATGAGACAGTAAAAGGAAATAACAAAACCAAAAGGCTGAGTAAAACTGTTCTATGATCAGATTTATTCTTTTAAAGGGAATTTTAACAATTCATTTGTAACTTCATTGCCAAATACCTGGCTACTTTGCCAAGAAAGGCAAAACCAAACAAAAATCTCTAAAAATAAACTGTGGATTGTTCTGCCTTTGAAAGGTAATTTATGAAGGGCATGTTTCAGCAAGAATAAAGACTCACAGTTTGAAACAAGCCACAGCTTTATTACTACAATGCAGAATCTAAACCTTAGAGCAGAAAGTCTAGGAACCTCTAGTATCTTTGGTAACTGATTTTTGCCTGCATGTATGCTCCAAATTTCCTTGCACTGATATATTTCTAGCAAGACATAGCTGGACCTCCCAAATAGTGTACACATGATATGAGTGTAATAACTTGTGTATACTGACAGGCTCCTGCTTTGCTCTTGTGAGATGACTAAACCTTTCAATGTAATCTGAAGATTTTATACTAATGGTGGCCAGGGTTATTGGCTTAAAGAAAAAAATACTTTTTTTCATCTCTATGAGAGCCACACAAAAGGCACTGACTTTGCTCTAGCTCCTCTATCCATCATGTTTCACAACTAACAGAACCCAGCATAGCCCAATAACCAGGAGACCCACCAGGAAACAACCAAGACAGAAGGGTGTCAGACACTGATGAGAATCAAAACTCTTCTCTCATGCCCTTTGTTTTAAACTCCCAATCCTTGACTAATTATTGCAGTTTAAGTGTATCAGTGACTTCCTGCAGACTCCAGTATCCATACTTAGTATCCTCGTGCTCCTTGCTTAACCACTGCTCTGTACCTACCTCTTTGCTACTCCTCCAACACTAGTCTTGCATGTCCTTCCAGACACTTATTACTGACCTATTATTGATGCATTTCTACCCAATAAATACTACTCTGTGCTAGAGCAGTTGCTTGGTTTGCATCTAGGTTGCATACCCACTAGTTGCATATTACACAGGCCACTTTTGGCACTGATAGGTCACAGCAGACAGCCACTGACTGTTACTGGTACACCAAATTTTAATGACAATTGTTATTTTGTGCCTACTGTAGAGATGGGAGTCTCTAGATCTGTTTCAGAGATGATTATATGTACAGCTTACTGGTTTGGATTTCTGTGGTCTCTTATGATCGTCCTCTTCTACCTGGGATACTGCATTTTGCAAATAGTGAGTAAGCCCCAACAGTGTGGCTACTGTGAAATGCATTTAAAAATACAGAGCAGATGTATTTATCCAGAATTTATCAGTTCTGGGGGTAAGCACTCATCCTGCCAGCCCAGCTCAACCTTTGCATTGAACTCTCCAGAATACCAGGTGCCAAGAGGGCTTATAAATTCTGGCCTGCTGTGACAAACACACGGAGACAGTCTGGGTTTAGCATGATGTCTAAATGTAAACTCTTGTGCAAACCTAAGCATCAATAACAGTGTGGCTCTTGTAGCACTTATCTCAGGTTGATTTTCTCCATGACAGACTTGAGCTGGGCCCAAAAAACTTCAGTGTGTACTGAAATTTACTGCAGAGGCAATGAGGCTGTACTGACAAGCAGCCAGTGCAGGTCTGGCTGGGACTACCTTCTAGCTTCTCTACCTTCTAGCGAAACAAGACCCAGACAGTAACAGCTGGTTACTTCCAGCTCCATGCTGCAGAAGAGAGTGTTAGAGTAGCACTATATGACAACTAATCAGTAACATTGTTTAACCCAGACTGTTTCTACATTTACAGCACAACATGCACCAGAACAGAATGGCAAAAAGGGAATTGTGAGTTGATCACAGCTAGATTATTTTAGAATGAAGGAAGCTTCATATTACCATTTCTTTGATAAAAAGTGAAAATAACTTGGCACAGAAATTGAGGAAAGTAGCCTGACTTGAGAAATGATAGAGATGAATTCAGCAGAAATTAGGAAACACTAATGCATTATGACAATGACAGACCACCTTCAACCCAGTCATGTGAACTTGTCAGTGATAGGTTAATGGTTGGACTTGATGACCTTAAAGGTCTTTTCCAACCTGAATAATTTTATCATTCTATGATTCTGTGTAAGGACAAAGTCGTAATTAAAAGCTAGAACAAAACCAAAAGACAGGTAGGTTGAGAAGGGGAGCAAGCTTCTGTTGTCTAGTTTTGATGAGTACTGAGCAGAAATGAAACAGACATTGTGTATTGAGGAGTTGCCTGTCTTACTGGCTGCAAGTTAAACATCTTGCATGATCCAGTTAAGTAAATGAGGAAGCTAGAGGCAAAATGGATGAGGAATCAAGGGTATAGTTGGTTCTGAGATAGGTTTGTAATCATAGTAAGATGCACAAACTGGAGAATCTCAGAGACAATTGCAAGTAGATCAAAATTATTCTAATGTGGAAACTAGACTCTAGTTAAGAGTAATTTGCTTGGTGGATCAGAGGAAGAGCTGTCTTTTCTACAGCTTTGAACCCCTTCTCAAAAGACCTATCTAGGCATATGGCATCATTTAGTACTGCAAAGCTAAAATCAGAGCAACGTCCTTATGCAAGAAGCTAATGCATACTAATTTAAACAAGCATTGTTTTTCATTTACAATTAAGCAGTGCCTATGTGTTCCAACTAGAGCCAGACCTTCGGTGTTTGAGAGCTTTACAAGTCTATACCTGAATGTTGTTCTTGCAGAATTATAATACAGACAAAATTGAGAAAGACCATGTAGACATCAAAGACAGTGATGGGAGTAAAAGATTGCCAAATACTAATAGTAAAACCTTAAAAGCAAAACTATTAATCCTAAGAGATGAAAGAAAGAGCCTTCAAAAGTTTCCATCTTCCCAAGTCACCTGGGAACTGCTAATACTGACTGTATCACCTAATGGTAACCCCTGATATTTCTCTGGTTGGATGGAAGAAGGATGTTAACAGAAAAAAAGAAAGGAATAGAGGATCAGCTTCTGCTTGAAAAGCCTATAAAGAATGCTAACTAACAAGGAGTCTAATGTAGTTTGGTTGGACTATGTGAAAGTATGTGATTTACTCCCACATTCAGAGAGAACACATGCATGAAAGAACGACATGATATTTAATGTAAGATTTACATATAATCTTGTGAAAGGCCTAGGACTAGTGGACATAGACACTAACAAGGAAAGATTCTATACGTATGCTACCAGTAAAAGGAGGTTCAGAGTAAAATCTGAAAGTATGATCGGAAAAGTGATAAAACTAAATAAAGCACATATAACATTTACCCCAAGATGCCAAACTATGAAAAAAAATTTGCAAACCCCCTTATTCTAAACAAACAAATTTAGAATGCGTTGTAAGTTCAAAAATGTCCACAGTTAAAGGGAATAATGACCAAGAAAAGGAATCAGTTCTATATTTCACATGATTATCTTGCAAAGATATCTGTGTGAAATAAAACTTGGAAATGTACATAAAACTGTATTTCATAGAAATATTAATCTAGCAAAGACCATGATCAAAGTTGGATTTTTTTAAAGGGCCTGGAAATTAAGTAAACATTAGAGAAAGCTTTCCATATATTTAATTTTTTAAACAGAAGAATGAAAGCCTAAGGATGCCTGGGTGTGCTTCATCCATGCAAACACAACTCCAAGTTAGTTAGTAGTTGACTTACTATTAGCATATAATAATTGTACCAATAAATTGCCCTGAAATGACAGCAGCAGAAGAATCTAAATGCCTTATAGGGATATATTCTTCTACTAAGCAAGAATTAAAATAAAAGAATCCCATAGACTCTCCCCATCTAAATGAAATCAATGTGAAAACAAGAGTCAGGGATAAGCCATTTGACACGGACATGACATTTTCAGGGGAGTGCTTGGCAGTGCTGTGGTACTAAGAACGAGAAATAATCTGTATAGTCTGGGATGGGATGTGCTAAGCAGCATAGTGCTGTGCAGGATGGAGGACTAGAGAAACACCTAGCAGTGTGAGATGCTGGCCTGAATAGTAATATGCACTGTGAAATGGCTGAGCATTAAATAGCACAAGATAGTGCAGAAAATTGTGTAAGAATGATGAAGAGTCCTGTGGAACAGAGACTGGGGAAACAAGACAGATTCATTATTAGTGTGTGGCCCACCTCACACATCCAAAAGTTCTCTTAAAATGAGAAAGGTTATTCATCCTTGCCATAAAACTGTGGAGATCCCATTCCAGACTGCATTTGTAACATAATGGTGACTACATGCTCCACTAGACAATGATAATCTTTTCCAGTACTTCCTTACTAAAAGATACTGACATATGTGGTGATCAGAATACATATCTGTTAGATGTTACATAGACTAGTTAGAAGGGGAAAAAATTTCTTTCTGTTCTTCCATGCTTCATGTAAAGGTGGATAAAACTAGTCTCTTCAGTTTTCTTACATGAGCAGTACCTCAAACAGTACCTGAAAAGGGGCACAGTGGTGTGGGAGGCTCAAGAAGCCACATTTTCACCCTTACAAACCAGGAGGAAGACCTGATTTCCTGCACATTCACACACCCCACATTTTGAAAGAGTGCAGTATGCATATTCTCCTTTTTTCTCTTGGAAGCTGCCTCTTGGTCATCTGTTCTACACTATTTGTAAGCTGTACATAAATAAATCTACAGTGATTTGCAGCTCTAAAATAGACTTTGAGGCTTCAGTTATACTATGTAATCAGAACCATACACCGTAGGTCTGAAAAAGTTTAAAAGGATGAATATAGAACCTGTTTTGTACAGAAAT